CATGTTAAAGACGGCTGAATCCACAATAAAAAAGGATAAGTCGGTGCTTCTTGTTGATCCACTTCTGGATCAAAGGATTTAAAATCTAAGAAAAGGAAGGGGAAGGGAAAGGTTCCCAATAAATCCAACAAGAAGGCAAATAACAACAAAGGGAAGAACAAAGAGAAGGTTAATTCTCAGTCTAATCATGAATGCTATCATTGTGGTAAAACTGGGCATTCGAAGAGGAACTGCAAGGATTATCTTGCAAGCCTGAAAAGTTCAGGTATTTATTTTGTTGAAGTTATCTGATCAGTTAATGATTCTTCTTGGGTATTGGATACCGGTTGTGGCTCACATATTTGCAATGATTTGCAGATGATGGCAAGAAGTAATAAGCTAGAAGATGGAGAAACAATCCTAAGGATGGGCAATGGAGCAAAAGTTGCTGCCAAAGCAATTGAGACTGTTTATCTAGCTTTAAATAATGATGTAAAAATTTGTCTTGCAAATTGTTTGTATGTTCCGGATGTTATAAGAAACATTATTTCTATTCCAGTAATGGATAGAGAAGGTTTTAAGTTTGTTATTGAGAATGGAAGATGTTCCATTTTCAAAGATACAACTTTTATATATTTTGCAAATTTGACAAATGGGTTATATACCATTACACCACAAAGTCCCATCCTAACTATTCAACAAAATAAAAGAAAATTAGATAATCATAGTTCATTCACACTTTGGCATGCTCGATTAGGTAATATATCTGAAAAGAGGATTCACAAATTGGGACCAAAACTCGACCTTAGGGGAGAGGAAATGTTGCCTACTTCTGAGTCATGTCTTAAAGGTAAAATGAAAAAATCACCATTTGTTGGACAAGTGGAGCGAGCTAAAGGTCTGTTGGATTGATCCATACAGATGTTTGTGGATCATTAAATGTTAGTGCCAAGGGGAACTACTACTATTTCATAACTTTTACTGATGATTATTCACGGTATGGTTATGTATACCTATTAAGGTACAAATCTGAAGTATTTGAAAAGTTCAAAGAATTCAGAAATGAAGTAGAGAAACAAATTGGTCGTAGTATAAAAGTTCTTCGATCAGATCGAGGAGGTGAATATTTGACCAATGAGTTTCTTGATTATTTAAGAGATAATGGGATTATTTCACAGTGGACACCTCCTGGAACTCCACAACTAAATGGGGTTTCATAAAGAAGGAATCGAACATTGTTGGACATGGTTCGATCAATGATGAGTTCCACTAGTTTACCTCTTTCATTTTCGGGCTATGCCTTAGAAACAGCAGTACATATTTTGAATAGAGTGTCGAGTAAAGTTGTACCCAACACACCTTATGAGATATGGTGTGGCAAAACACCCTCGTACAAGTATATGAAAGTATGAGGTTGTAATGCTTATGTGAAGCAGTTAGTGGGAGGTAAGTTGGATATGAGATCCATCTTATGTAAATTTATTGGGTATCCAAAAGAATCTATTGGATACTATTTCTATGACCCCTCTGAACAAAAGGTGTTTGTTTC